TATAGCCATTGGCATCAAGCATACCAAACATGCCATAAATTAAATCCAAATATCTACAGTTACTTTTCAAAATTGAATAAAATTTTCTAACTGAGTAGTTTTTGAAAATTTGACCTTTTATTTCATGAAATTCAATAATTGTCACCCTGTACTTGCACTGTTAAAAACAAGTGTGAGAAAAAATAAAGTAATTTCTGCACCTGTGAGCAATTTAATTGGCAGTTCTCAATACAATACAGCAAAATACAGTTTGAAAGCTGATACGAAGTTCTCTCAAAATAAAAAAAATGTCTTGACAAGGGAAAAATAAGTTTATCTAATAAAGAATGAATATTTACATTTTTTTCTTTGGATCTTAATAAAGTTTTTTTTTTTTTTTTTTTTTTTTTTGGTACACTCCATTTTGTTATCATTAAACAGAAGATATTCTACAGCACAAAATTCCATAAATTCAAGTTTTGCAGTCAGTGATTAATAATGATCTGCTTAATACATTTTATCAAATTTGTAAGACCAACCTTTGTTTTGTCTTCTAATTCTATATATTTTTATTTTATGGTATTTTTTATCTATATATTTTTATTTTATGGATTTATGGTAAAATAGAAAATGAGAAGAAAGATGAAGATTTTATAATAAGGACTGCAACTAACAAAATAGTGGAAGAACTTTCAGAGGAAGACAAAAATAAGTTTTATTTCCACGACAGAAGCTACTTCTGCCAAGTATGTGATTACATACAACAAATTTCTAATCAATGATGAAGTGACTTTATATGCTAAAACTGCAGATGTTTCTGCTCTAACAAATGCATCTTTTTCTGATTAAAGATATGCTTTGAATAGATTTCTAGTTTTAATTTATTTAGTTGTGAAAGATAATGATATTGATGTTGCAACTGATAAACTGCTGTCACAATTTTGCAATTTACAATGAGAAAACTCAGATAAAGTTATAAAATCATTTGGCATTAATATACAGTGGAATTTAATTGGAAAGCTGAAAGGTACTGATGGAATTTTAAAGTCTAGTGAACTGTGTAGAATAATGTTGGCCATTTTGACTATTTCCCATAGTAATGCAGAGTACAAAAAGATTAACTGTGCTGTTACTAAAACAGGGGCTAAATTTAGATTCAATATCAATAATGACACAGTAGAGAAACTTTTATTAACAAGAGCAGGCCTATGTGGCAATTGCTATGAACCTAATTGTCAATTTTCTTTCTAAATGAAAGCCAAATCTGCCACTGTTCATAGCATTTGTATGAAAACTGATTAAAGTATTATTTTTCCATCAAAAGGTACAAATAATAAAAATGTTTTTTACATGCAAGTATTTTTGTACTATTTGCACTTATAAAATAGTAATCAAACATTCAGGTATAAATTAGTTATTTAAAGTAAAATTATGTGTATTTTATCATTGAGAAAATTCTCCTGAGTGTTTAGAGTTGCAGGTTGGCAGGTATGCTATTATCTGCAAAGATATGGGTAAGCAAAAGAATTTTTTTCCAATTTTTACCACATCTAAGCTGAGAGACAAGAAAAAAGCAAAGTGGGTACAGATCTGTGGAGATTTTACCACAATGCATGTCCCGGATCCATCCTGTAAACCATTGTCACAGGGAATGACACCTGGTACTACCATTTTGATATGGAATTCAAGAGGCAGTTGATGAAATGGCACTATTGTCTCTGTCATCTGGAAGAAGTCAAGCACAAAACAATGTTGATCAGTTCGACAACAATAGCATTATCCTTAAGAAATTTATTCCTGCGGAAGAAATCACGAGTTCTGCATTGTGCAAAGAAGTTTTAAAACAGTTTATGATGCATCTAGCATTTTCTGTTCTTGGTCTTCTATCATATTCCCTTTATCTGGCACTTACAGATTTGTTTCATTTTCCCACCAGAAAAAAAGTCATGAAAGAATGACATTTTGCTAATATATCAGCTATCTAAGAACATTTTACAACATTTAAATCAATTCCTTAAGAAGACTTGCTGACAATTTCCTAAAAACTTTATGAACAGTGCTTGAAATATATGGTCACTGGTGATTATTTTGAAGGTTAATGAATTTACTTTGTGTTTTCTGTTTTGTTTATTCTCTTATAACTTAAGACCCACCTTCTATCTAAAGTGTCACTTTGGTGTCAGTATGTATGTATATACATGCCCACATATATATAAATTGGTGTGTGTGCGTGTATAAAAAATTTGCCATTTAATTATTTAGCATTTAAATAGTTTAAGTAGCTATTTATTATATCATTTTTTGTCTTTTGTATGTTTGTTTATTCTTCTTTGAGAAAGCTACTGCACTAATTAATCTGAAAACTGGAAATATATCTTAGACAAGCAGGTGGAGGAAAGGAAAAATAGAAGGATCTATACTGTATTAGTATTTAATATATATATATATATATATATATATATATGGCATAGGTTTGTATGGACATACAATTTATAAAATCTTATGTGAAAAATTTTAATAAATTTTTAAAATATGCATAGTGCAGGTGATAATCCTCCCAATAAAACTGGAGATTCCTAATTTTTCATCACATATCCAATCTATTTGTAAATTTTCCTATTCCCCAGTTTTTTATTTATTTAATTAAATTACATGATTCTTAATTTATCTTGTTAGATTGTATCATTTTATTTAAATAGGTGGTATTTGTTTATCTAAATAAGAAATTTTTTGTTTTTAGTAAGTACACTGATGAAAAATGACATTCCAACCAACAATAGATCAGTTTAGAGCAGCGGTTCTCAATCTTTTGACTAACGCATACTATCTAAACAAAAATTGAAAACCTTTAGTATCACCAGTACAATGTACTGCTACCACCACAACTCTTGAACAAAGCTCAGTTCGCATAAATTTACGAGTGTTAGAGAAAAAAACTCAATCAGGATGTTGGGTTTTTAATTTAATAGTTAAAAATACTTTGTATCTTTACGTACCACCTATTTTTGTCTTGTGTACCACTGGTTGAGAACCCCTGATTTAGAGGAATGAAATGTGGGCAAAGCATTTGTCTAGGTAACATATTTGTATGATTAATGTTTCAAGGTCATAGGTCAAAGTGGGCATGAGAAAGCCATTTCATTTGTGAAATGGTGATGCATTAAAAATTACTGTAGTTGCTGTGGTGTTAAATGCAAGCATGCAAATGTGCATGCATCGTGTCATATCGGTGCTATATGTATTTTTGTAGGATGAAGTTCTATGTCTATTGCAATTGGTCAGTCAAGTCAGCAGCAGTCTGTATTGGTTGCAGATGATGCTGGATTTGTCACCCACTTATGTTCCATATGTGCTCAATGGGAGAAAGATCAGGTGATCTTGCAAGCTAAGGTAATATGTTAACACTCTGTATAGCATGTTGGGTCATAATAGTGATATGGAGATAAACGTTATCCTGTTGAAAATGCCCCCTGAAATATTGCAATCTCAAGAATTGCAGCACAACTGGTACGGGGCACTAGTCTGACAACGTGCCGATTTGCTGTCGATATGTATGGGATAACAGGAATGTTATATTATGTTATTTAGAAGTGACGGGGCCACCTTACTGTCATTAGAAATAGCTCTCCAGACCATAATTCCTGATGTAGGTCCAATGTGCCTATGCTTAGTTGAAAGTGTATACCTGGCCTTCTTTTAGCCGACATACAGCATCACTGGCACCAAGACAGAAATTCCTGTCATCTGAAAACACAGCAGATTTCCACACCTTCACCTTTAAGCTCTAATTTGACAACACCAAAGTCGCAGATGGCGGTGATTTGGAGTTAGTGGTATGGCTGCTGCAGAACATCAGACTTGAAGCTGTCCCTCAAATAATCGATTTGTTATAGTTCATTGTGTCACACTGGTGTCAATAAAAGTTCAAATGTCTGCTGCAGATGCATCGCAATGTGTCATAGACATGCAATGAATATGACTTTCTTTCCTTTGAGTGGTGGCATGTGAGCTGCAGTGAACAAATCCCTGCCAAGTTTTTCTGCAATATTGTGAAAAGAAAATCCACCTTCTCAAAGCCCTTACATGACCTTCAAGTTTAGCTGCTGATATTGCCTGTGTTGTCTCTTTAAAGGTATTCTTTACTCAAATTTCACTCACAGTGCTCAGTCTGTAAGATAAATAAATGAAACACATAAAGTTTATAGTATATATTTCAAGTAAACATGATTTGTTCTAGTGGCACTACTAGCACCACACTTATTCATCTAGTACAAAATCTAAGTAGGCATCATCATTCAGATGTGCAAACACACCTCTCAAATTTTGTTTATCTAGCACAACTTTCTTTGTGTTGGAATTCCGCTGCAACTGTATCTAATGTATGTTACTAAATTTATCTACCTCTGACCATGCTTTAATTATAAATTTTATCTTTAAAAGCAGTTGCATATATAAAAGCTTTTTCTCCACACTCAGATTTTCATCAATATAACATTTTTGGAAAATTACAGAATTGAATGCAATTAGTCAAAAAAAGACTTAAATTTGAATTTAGAATAGTGAGTTAAATGATATATATTTTACATAAAAATTATGAGTAACAGTCATTTTAAGCCAAATTTGTCAGTGTCTTTTTGACGTTGCATCATTTTTCAGCATGAAAATCTTATCGAATTTTATATTTCAAGGTTGACAAATATGCTATTGTGAAATTTAACTTATTGAAGCAGTTAATAGAAGTTAAAAACTAACATGAATCAGTTTCTTGGAATTTTTTTACTCTTAAATCATAATTCCCCATCTGTAATATTTTAAATAAGCGTCTTAATTTTAAAATTATAGATAGTTGAAGTCCATTATACTGTAGAAGTCTGTATTACTCTTCAGTTTACTTTTGCATTCCATTTAATTATATTTTAACTGTTTCTTTATGTGCTTTAATTATTTATTTATTAATTTTAATTAGTAATTAATTTTTATTTTATCTAATTAATTTAATTTTTCTCCCCTTGTAATTGTAGTGCTGTTGAGGCTGTGGATACAGTCTGCAATTTTGAACCCCTGCCAGGTCCAGATGGGTTGTATTGGTGTCAGAAATGCCATAAACATTTCAGAAAACCTCGTCAGCTTTCTAGGCATGTTTGTCTGGAAACAGATGACCAGGTATTATTATTATTATTTTAACACTTTAGTTCAGTGTTTGTGTAATTAGGCGGCGTCACACTGTCAGGAGCATTTAAAATTATCTAAATGAGCAGTACAGAGGCCTTAATATCGCTGACCTATTAGTTTTAAATCAACTTGACCATCTTACTGATTAAATGTTAAAATATTACTATTACTGTTTTAATACAAAGAATTATTATATTAAGCTGCATGTTTATGAGATTTTTATTGCAAAGAATTAAAATATTTTATTTATATAATAATATATAGTGAAAATGAGAAAATAATTTTAAAAATATATGGTGTAATTTGTATGTAATAAAGGTTAAATGGCATTATAAAAATATTTCAACAAAGTTTAAAATAGGGAAAAATTGTTAGTTAATTTTGTTTGTTAAAGCACAATTTTATTTCTCTAGGTGTCTCATTTCAATAAAGATTATATTTATTATATATATATATTTGTAAAGCTAGCAACTGAAAATTGCATTACATTTCAAAAATTAACTTCTCATATAGCCATTCAGGCAATTTTAATGCTGGAAGTTAAGTAGACATCTAATTGATGGTACTGTGGGACAATATAACCTTCATACTAGTGAATGTATGAGCAGCAGTTTCTGATCCTTAAAGAAATGTGTATACTCAGCCTTCTGTTTATTCTTCAGATTTGTTCTCTTGCGGCTTCTTTCTCTTCCCAAACCTAAACTTTGTATGAAAGAAACATTTTTTGATGACATCCACTTTCCAAACCATATTGAAACAAACCTCTATAAGTATTTTCTTCCATAACTGATTATTCTGTCATTCATATAACAATGAAAAAATTTTAATCTGTGTAACTGTAGTAACACAAACCTCTTGTGGTGAAAGTTCTATGATTGTACGCTCAATGCAAATTCTGTGAGTTTTTTTAATTTTTTTAATATATTCTCATTATTTAGTTATCACATTTATGTATTCCTATTTCCTTTAACAGAAAAATCAAAATCATTGCAACAAAATGAAGGGAAAAAACAATTATTGCTAACCCAGGGAAATTTCAGTATCATTAACAGAGCATATTTACTTCCTAAGGGGGGAGAAATTCCCTCCCTTCATGTAAAGCTTTGGTTTATGAGGCATTAATTATGCTAAATATGATTATAAACATCTTAGCAAAGGAAAAAATACTTGATTATAATGTAAAAATTATTAAAACACAAGTAGGAAAAATTAGTAGAAAGAATTAGAACAATTACTTTACTTATTAGATTTTTTTAAATCAAGCTTAATATCCTCTTTTTTTTTTTTTTTTTTTTTTTTTTTTTTAATCTTAACGTATACACTTAGAAAGAATAAAATAAATGTTACTTAAGTAGATTAGCTTAATTTTTTCCTTTATTTGCATTCATGATTCTTATGTAAAATCTATGCATTTTAAGATTTTTTTAAGCATGTTAGAATTGAAATTCATTATTAAAATATCTATGGGAGAAAGTTTATTAATTCATTGCACTGAAATTTTTAGAAGGTTATATCTATTGTAAAAGAGATTAAGTGAATTTTTCCTCCCATGGTGTAAAATTACATTCTCTTCATTATATAATAATATTCTGTAATCACACATTTATATTTCATACCTGTGTAGGATAATTTTTCTGATGACTCTTCAGTTTTTTCTGATGGAAGTGAGGATTTTCAAGTATATATGAGTATTGATCCAGTTCCATGGACAAGAAGACAAAAGCGCCACAATGATAAAAATTCAGAAGAAAATAATAATGAAACTACACTTAAATTCTTATGCAATGGAGCAATGTGTACGTATATAATAATAAAATTTTTTGTACTTTTTATTTTTTTAAATTGACTAAATAGTTGTTTTCATTAATTTTCAGAAATATGTTTCATATATAATTAAATTTATATTGTTAAATGTAAATTTTGCATTTCATTTGATGCAGCTGATGAAGATGGGTTGAATAAAGTCACTTCAAAATGGAGAAATGATCCTTCCTATGTTCCACCTTTCAGGAATGAAAATGAAAAACTTGCATTTGAGAAGCATTTGAAATCTATTGATTATAGTTTTGTGGATGATATGTTTATCATAGAGAGGAAAAGATGTAAAATCCAGAGCGGAAATGTACATACTGGTCACCATTTTTCTAAAATTTATACCTGCATAAAGTGTAAAAAGGTATATATATTTTGATTTCCTCCATGATAATAAATTTGTTATTTAACGTATTCGTAGAATTTATGATGTAGGAAAAAATAATAGAAACTGCTGTTTTATCATCTGTAATCATACTCGGGTCAGTGCAATGACCAACAGACCCAAGTTCAGATATTTATTCTGTATTATTTTATTTTAAATTATAATACAAATGGTTCTTGACACAGGCTAGAACAGCTTGTGAATTGTTTTCCGTAAGTATACGGGAAAATCTGTTGGAGATTATGATGGTTGAAAATATGCAGATGAATAGCGTATATAACAAAATGAGAAAATATTGTATGTTATGAAAATAATGCTACACATGCATATGTAAATATCAGTGTAATTTTTGTTTGTTATGACAATGTGTAGTCAAACTTATAGAGCTTTCTATTTTTTATATCTGATCGTATTGATCTCACCACCTTTTTCACCATTAAACTTTATTTGATCCCTCTTACCCTCTCAAAAAATGCCTTATCATGGATTTTCTCACAGGATGTAGACATTCTAGCCTTGACATACTAGGTCATGTACAGAACTTATCAAATAAAATATTATTGTGTTTCTAAAACTTTTCAGAAAAAAAATTGAATTTTTATGCATTTTAAATTAATCATGTAATACAGTACAAAGTCCGAGATCTGGACTCTTCAGAACTCAATTCCAGAAATGGGATTTTTCCAGATATAAGATCATCAGTTTAACTCTAGTAAGATGGCATGTAGAAATTATAAAATTAAAAATATGAAATAATGAAGCATCATTTATGATCTAAAGAGTGTTAAAATTTACAAAAAAGGTTAATATTTATTTGTTTACTTTATTAAACATTTCTTTCAGTGTAAGTTGTTTAAGTTGCTTCGATTTTTATGCTAATACTTTCTCTTTAATTCTATAGACACATAATTTCTTGTTCAGTTACAAAGTTCCATTTTGTTCAGGTGCTGTAATTGCTGTGTTAAGAATTTCAACTAACTTATCAATCGAGTTTTTTTCGTTTTCAATAACCTGTCACTTTCTTCACTGTCGGTAGCGGTATTTTCTGGATCTAGAAGCCGTACTTCAGATTTCGCCATCTGTTAATTGATTGATGATTGGGGCATTGTTGTCACAATGAAAAAGTCTGTTACATCATCTTCATTTATTACCGCTTTTTCACATTTCTTTACGAAATCCATTAATTGTAAAATTTCACCTTTGGTTTGTGATACCCGAAAACTTTCAAATTTGCAGCTATCATCTTCATCATCCTCACCATGAAATACAGTAGCTGGCCATAATTTATACTAAGCGTTTTTTTAAGTATCTGGAGACACATCCTCCGATGATCTTGCAATGCTCTACACAGCAAATTTTATACTAAAATATTAAAAAAATTCTTGAACAGTCTTGTCATTATTCAAGAAATTTAACATGGATTTTTAAAATGCTATTTTATATTTTCATTTCAACTAGTACGCTGTTACGATATCCATAGGCTGAATGATGGATGTGCAGTTTGGAGAAAAGAATTATATGGATACATTATATTTCACTCAAACTTAAGTGAAGTATGAGCCAAACAGTTGTCTGCAATCAGAACAATTTTTGCATCCTTAGGTAAACAAGCCAAATTCAAATATTGCTGAGCCTCGGGTATGAAATGATTTTCAAATAACCATTCATTAAGCCCTTAACTGCCGCAGGCGTATATATACGTTTTGCTCAGCCGATGTGTTAACTACCTCAGGCATATACATACACCCTTCCAAAATACTATAATTTCTTTTGCGCTGCTACCCATAAAATTATTCGAAAAGCTTTGGAATGCAACACCACAATGACCTTGACAAGTATGCAAAGGAGGATATACTATTTCAGAGAAGTGTGGGGAGAAATTGGAGAGAGGGGTGTGTCTAAAGTGGTGAAAGTAATGACTGCGCGGTATTGGCTGGTCAATACCGCGCAGTCATTACTTTCACCGCAAGTATTTTTTTTCAAACAAGAGTAAAACGTATTTTTTTTCTATGTCCTCCATTTTCGCTTACTTTTTGTAGTAGGTTCCAGGAATAAAGAAAGGATGTTTCAAACCCATTTATCTTTTTAAAATTATTTTTTGATGAATTGCTCGTGCTTCATATTGTTACTGAAACTAACCGTTTTGTAGACGAGTATATGACCAACACCTTGCAAACGAAAATCAAGAACAAATTGTGGCTTCAGCAGTTTCAGAAGAAATATGTTTTTTTTAGGTATACTGATTCACAAGGTGTACACTGAAACCTAATATTACACTTTACTGGTCTAAAAATGAATTGATCGAAACTTCATTTTAGGAATCTTTTTTTATTATAAAAACATCATTTTTATTACTTTTAATACTTATATCCTTTTATATACTTTTACTCAAAACATTAAATTTTGTGCATTCATTTTTTTTATTTATTATTTTGTGAAAGTAAAGAGTTTTTAGAAAGTAAAACTTGCACTTATTTTCCCCCTAATACATCGCATAACTACGCGCGCCTGTGTGAAAAACCATTGCACTGGGAAATGAATCTTGTACGTTTTCCGCAGCAGTTGATGGGTTAATTGTCAGCTATGCTCTTTATCTTGTGTCATCCATGCTTTTTTATTTTGCTGATAACATAACGGGGAAATTCTTTACTCCTTTAAATGCTCGAGCTCGTGTATATTTTCCGATTATGGAAAGTTTACGCTTCTGTATTCTTGCAGCTTTTGCACATGCTAAAATTTTTAGTTTCGCTTTGGAATCTTTGACACCAGTTGGAGCCTTTTCTGTAGAGGCTGCCAAGGTATTTCACGGTACATTTGCCCAAAAAGACTAGTTTCATAAGTATTGGAAATTTGTTCTAGAGATAACTTTTCACTATTAATGAGTTCATTGAATTTGTCTGCAAATAATTCAGCAGCTTTCATTTGAAACTTTTAATTGCCTTTATACCATGGCTATTTTTTAATTTGGTTAACCAACCTGTCGAATATGTGCACTCAGTTTTTAAGTTCATTTCTTCATGAAATATTTTGGATTGAGCCATTAGCGCTGTATTTGTCAATGGCATGCCCTCACTGAGACGCTGTCTGAACCATTCAATCATTGCTTTGTCATAATCGTCGCTTCTAGTTGAACAAATAATTTTTCTGTTATTCATTGCGAGTGGGGTGTTGGAATCACAAAAAATTCCATTTTCTGTTTTCTTATGTCATATACAATTGACTTTCCAATGCCATTCTCTTCACATAATTTTGAGATGGATGTACCTTTATCCAATTTTTGTAGAACTTCTACTTTTTGTTTAATGGGCATAGAAACATGCTTTCGCTTTGTAAATTCTTTTGCAGTTCCAGAATTAGAAACTCTTTTCGACATAATCGGAAGTTCAAATTTACTTTCATAAAATTGTTGTAATAATGAAAGCGTGCAAAAAATAATAAGAAGGGTCAAATTAGAAAGTTATGGGATAGGGCAATCTGTTATATTAACTAAAATTCCTTGGAATCAGTAAGGTACAGTTTTAGCCTAGCTTAATAACGTCCGCTATACATTATTGGCTATGTATCATGAGACTGGGGATGAAAGACATGTTCTTCCACTAAATATTGTCTTGCTGCTGTTGCACACTGAAGCCATTATGTCTGAATTGTATTAATTTAGTTATTTATTATACTTATGTCTGAGTATAATAAATAACCAAATGAATTGTTAAATTTTTCCTTATCAACATTTCTTAACACATTTAACTTAAATCTGGAATTTTCACTAAGCATAATGTCAACATAAAAAGTCACCATACTTTTTGCTATTCAATAACTAATATAAAAAAATTATTTAGGCATTGCTGCATAAGTCATTATTCAAGTTGTTATGTGTTGATAAACATGCAATGATGAAAGCAAAATATAATAATGATTTGCAGGTTGGCATCAGGGATATAAAATATTAGTAGTGTAAAAGCAGAAATGTTTCTATATAGAATGTTTCAATTTGAGATGTATGCCAAGCAGATATGCAGCTATGGAGCCAAATTATTCATCACACAAATTTATGCTAAAATGATTATTTCTTGAATAACGAGGTGTTTGATTTAGTACAGAAGTAAAATTAAGAATCGGAACTCTTCACATGTTTTATAACCGGGGGGAATCAAATGTGTGCACATAAAGCATACCAAAAAAATGGTTGTTGGCGGCTTTGTGATCCGGATATTGGATGTCCAGATTTCTGACTTTGTACTGTATATGCTATATTAGTAGAATTACTGAGGAATAAAACCCCAAAGGTGTACTGTTTTTCTAACCCAAAAGGTGTACTGTTTTTACAACCCAAAAGGTGTACTGTTTTTCTTTACTGATGTAAAGTTCCCGCTTATTATGCTTTCTGATCTAAAAATTAATTTTTCATGATAACAAGAACAATTTTTATTTTACTTAAGCTTCAAAAAAAGTAACCTGGAACCTTATTTAACCAACTGTGCACTCAGAGCAGCTGGTTTAATTACCTTGTTCAGGATAATTCTCATAAAAATAAACAATAAATTGCCACTTTAGGGAACATTTTTCAGAAGGAATTTTTATTTTAATGTATTTCAATATGTTTTATCTTAGATTTTTATGTATGTTTGTGATTCATCCTCCTCCTTTAGGTATTAAAATCACTATTCCATATACGCATGCACTGCCTCACACACACTGATGTACAGCCATTTACATGTCCAGAGTGTCCTTATCGAACTAACAGCAAAGGCAGTTTATATACACACATGAGAAAGCATACTGGAAATGTTTTTCATTGTTCCTTTTGTAGTTTTCAGAGCACAAAAAGAGCACATATGTTAGATCATGAGGTATGTCTTATTTATCATGCTTTATTTTTTCTTCCTTTCCTATTTTGATGTTTGTGTGTTTTATTATGAATGGAAGTTTGATAACTGTCTTGTCTGTAATGCATAGGTAATATAAAATATATAAAAAATCAATTATTTTGCATTACAACAGGGTACTAGCACAGATTCTAGCACTGGAATATTATCAGTACAGCGATTTGCTAGTTTTTATCCACTAAAGTAAATAGAAAATGTAGCTAAAAATGTTGAGATGCAGGTGTTCATGAGAGAATCCCAGAAGGCCTGACTATTTGGAGGGTTAATATAGTCTTTCTTTAATTTTTGTTTTCATGTGAAAATGTTCAATAAATTTCTACTGGCAGACACTACAGTCTTTTCTTTTGGCAACTTTAACACTTTCGCTGCCAGTCATGCAAAGTTATTTTGATAGTTAATGCTGTGTCATAGAAATAGGTTGTGCCCATATGCCAACTTACTTACTCTAAGAAATATGATTTAAAAGAGCCAATAAAAGATTATTATGTGAACCACATTGATTACTAAGCCTTTAAGCATCAAATTGTATAACTACGCGGCAGCGTGTTATCGGCACTAGAGGAAAAATTACTTCTGCAGTGCCGCATTACGTGCTGGCACATGGCATTTAAAAGTGAATATGCATTATTTTGGTGTATATATTATTTTCATTAAAATAATGCATATTACACCAAAATATGCATTATTTTGTTGTGAATCTATATCACAAATAGATATATATATTACAAATGAATTTATTACAAGATAGTTGCAATGATATTATTGCAAACTATGTACTTCAGAATGTTATTCCTGTATGATCTTTATGCGAAATGAAACTTTGTTTCCAGTCAAAACCACATACATTTACAACTAGTTTCTAACTTTCACTCCTGGCTAATACTAACATATATATTCAAAACATAATGCCGATTGAACCTGAAAATGAACAATGAGACATTGTTTTCCCGCACCAGCATGTGACTGGCACCTGAGACATCACCAGGCACAAGAGCATGATTGTCTTTTCAGCAATGACACCAGTCACGCGCCAGTGCGTGATTGGCAGCAAACGTATTAAATACAAAAAAAAAAACAGCTAGACTACCCCCTGTAAGGAAAAATTTTGTTGGCCCTGGCCTCTTTGAATAGGAACTTTAAAGTGTATACCTCTTATTAAAAGACACTGGAAAAAAACTTAAAAAATTAGATAGAGACTGAAAAATAATTGAAAATAGAAATACTCTTTGTTAGTAATCTTTTGAGATTTCAAGGGCAAATCTGTGCTCAGTGAAAAATAATTTTGTGATAAGGGAACAATAAAATGAAAAGCTAATCCCGTTTTCAAAAGTTTTTTAGTAGGGTAAAGAGGAACAATACATTAGAGAAAAGCAAGTTGGGATGCAATCAAAAGGATATTTCACATTCATAGAATTCAAAATCCAGTTATTCTTGCTAAATTTCTCAGTAGGGGGGAAGAAAACAAAATGTGATGAGATGACTGGGCCACTTGTCAAGGCACTAGAATTTCAAATTGTGGGCAGTGTGAAAATTTCTATCATTCTTAGTTCGTGCTAGGATTTGAAAAGCTTAATTTGTAAGATTTAGGGCAGAAATTTGGAATATGTAAAAACCAAGTAAGTCATAACTTTCATAAAAAGGCTAAAAAAAATTTTAAAAAGTCCCCCCCCCATCAACAAGTTTTTTAATGTTCTTAGAGTAGGTAATGGCTGCCATTCTAATACAGTTGTTCAAGTGTTCATCAGGGAGTTCATTTCTGTATTAGTTTTAATAAATTTCATACTGGAAAAAGAAATTTCACATAGATATGTAGAGCTGAACATTGTCTTCATTTTGAGACAAACCTGGACTAAAATTGGGTAATTTTCTTTAGGAACAAGAGGCCAAATATTTTCAGACTTGAAGAAAGTGATTTTACTGATAAATCATTTCAAAAATCAGTCAGTTCCAACTCCACTGCAACATTATCTTTTTGAAAATCAAAATGCTCCATGACACAAGTAGAGAACTTTTCAGAATCAATCTCTATAAAAAGCAATTTGACAAACTGTACAATTGAAATCCTTTTGAAATCTTGGAAGTATTTGTAAGCTACTCAAATCTGAAACAATTTCAGAGTATCTTTTGTTGTTTTAAGGAGACGTTGAAGACCCTTTCTTTTCAAGGAGTTGCTTCAAACAGGCAAAGTATTTGCATTCACCTTGGATGACATTTTTATCCCACAGTTCCAGCTTTTTGGGCACTGAAGCAGCATCTGAAATTGCTCCGTCAATATCTTTATCCCTACCTTGAAGCTACAAGTTAAGTATTAATGTTTGGGTGATGTCTGCAAGAAAAGCAAAATTCTGTAGCCAAGCCGGATCTTCTAGTTCAGGAAAGGATTCGCCTCTTTCTTTGAAAAAAAAAGGCAGGGAGCAACTCTTGAAAACGCTGTCAAACTCTGTCTCCACTCAACCAACGAACTTTCGTATGAAGCACTAGATCACCATGCTGGCAATCTAGTTCATCAGTCAGTACTTTGAACAAGCATCTCTGAATTGTATTTGCTCTAACTTTGTTTAATATTTTTATTACAGTACATGACTGTTTTCATTACTGAGCTGTATCAACTATACCAGTCGATTCGTCAAGTTGCAGGAGAAATAGCTGCAGCAATCAATGTGAGTTTTAAGTTGTGAATATCAAAACTCATAACCTCCCCATTGCTGTATTTGTAGAAAACTGTACAGATTTAATAGCAGACATTATCTCAGTTTTATTTTTGAAACTATCAAATAATGAATCTGCAGCTTCTAAAAATGCAGTTTTGTTTATTTCGCCATCTTTGTATGGTTTCTTATTCTACACAATAATATTTGAAACTCAGAATGACACCTTACTTGCTCCTTTATTCTTGTTTAATAATTTTAAAAAAGTTTATTGTTGAGCATTAAGTTTAGATTTTGGCTGCCTTACCTTTTATTTTTTAGAGTGAAATTCAGTGGGAAATCCTTTTTATACAGGAACTATTTTGAAGTGATATGCAATGCCCCCATTCTTTCCAACTGATACACTTGCATAGCACAGTAAACATACATATTTATTCTTTACCTGGGTAAAGAATAAATATGAATGAAAGTGATAAGTTTTTTCCTTAAACATGCCATCATTAGAACAGACCTGGTGTAGTACCAGTGCGTAAATCAAACTATCCAAATTAGCAAATGTCTCGTATACACACGGAAAACATAACACGCTCAATCTCATGCATATACAATCAACTATGAGATGAGGCTGACAGTGGCAGTTGCGTGCAAAAAACAAGCAGTTGAAGTCATGCGTGCCACCCCGTCATCATTGTCAGCTCAGTGGAGGAATCCAGCGATAAATAGAAAGGGCTAGTTCATTCCTTTGTTCGACTCCTTGCGCCGAACCGGCAGTAATTTGACGTCACTGTGATGCACCTGCTGTGATTTCGCGCATTTAAAACTGTAGTTTCATTGAACTCCAAGGTGATTTTCTGGAGGTAGCATATCCCAAATTAATTTTAATCCTATGTATTTGTTTTCAAACAATGAAAATATTTAAAATAATTTGTATATATATATATATATATATATATATATAGCTTTAGTCAGTTTTCATTTTAAATTTTCTATTGTAAAGTATCATTTTATGTAATATGGCTTTTTGTGCTGTAGCAACGTGCCATAACACTTATAGAAATACAAAGGGAAGGGATATTGTAATATTTCATGCTTTCCAAAAGGACAATTTGCTTTTGACAAAAGAATGGATTCATAAATGTCAAAGACAAGATTCTGTCACTGTGAAGAGCGAAAGAATTTGCAATGAACATTTTCTATGCAGTGTTTATGAAAATGATATGAAAAATCGCTTGTTTGGATAGCTGCAAAAGAAACTATTGAAATGCAATGCTGTGCCGAAAGTAAATTTACTGTGTGCAGGAACAAAATAACACCAAGAAATCGGAGACATTTGAAAAAAAAAACTAATGCAGCTTTTGAAAGACTGTACAAATTAAGCCCAAAGAATTCATTTTGAAATAAAACCAATAAAAAACATTTTAAATATCCCTGAATGTTCTAAGTGTAAAGATAAACAAGAAAGCATTGATAATTTGAAGAAAAAATAATATCATTAGAAAATTGTGTTAAAATATTAAAAAATAGAGAAAAGAAAAATTTTAGAATTGTTTGTTCAGAGACATAGAAGGTGGAAGATATCTAGAAAGAAATTTTTATCAGAACTTCAGAAACTAAAATCTCAAATAACGAAATTTAGAAAGAAACAGCAGAGTTCGGAGAATTTGGAAAAACATCTAAAGCGTATTTTTACCAAGACGCAGGTTAATGGCACTAATTGGCATAAAAAGACATGCTTGTCAAATTATATCTCACATATATTTATTTAAATGTAATATAGATGTAAGTATAAGTTAAAAAATTATTTTAAAAATACCTATTATTATATTGAATCGTAAAAGAAATATATCAACATAAAATTTACAATTAAGCAAAAAAATCAACCTTAGATTAGCAGAAATTTTGCCACATATGTGATATATGTTTAAAACTATGTAATCTAAGGTTGTTTTTTTTTTTTTTTTTTTTTATTATTATTATTAATTTTAAATAGATGTTATTATAGTAGTTATATTACAAGCAGTATAAGAATTCTCTCAGTTAGCATGCAGATAAAGAAATCATTAAAAAATAAACACCCATTAAAAAAAATCTGAAAGGTTGAAGATTTTAAATAATGTCCAAAGAGGCGTTTTAACGTTTTGTGTGTTACCTTTATTTATTAAATTTCATGTCCACGTACTCAAACTATAAAGTTCAGTTCAACAGGAATATTGCAAATTAATTTTAAAATAAGCATATCTTTAGAATTTCCGATGCAGAGTCTCGTGCGTTGGGAGATAAAAATGTTTTTTCGTACAGTGTTTCCATTGCTCGCTT